GAAGTGGGCCTATCTAAAGGAAGTGATTCAGTACAGAGTGGGTCTTTGATATTATAAGCCACTTTTATACTTCTGCCCCAAGCCCTGTTTTCTGTCCAACGCCATGGGAACAAGTGGCTACTCAGACTCCAGTTGCCACCGGACTTCTTTCTGCCATGTTTTCCTCCACCATGATGGACTGTGTCATTCTGAACTGTGAGCCAAAATAAACATCTCCCCAGTAAGCTGCTTCTGGTCAAGGAGGAGGAGAGTAAGTAACACATTGTCAGTCACCCTCAACATAAACAGTACCTGAGCAGAGCCTGGCTGGCTGCAGTTTTGACATCTCGTCCTACCCTGATCCCTGCTCATCTGTTTCCTGTCACCATTCTGGGCCCCAACTACTTAAACGACTGGTCAACCCCAGATGCACTCATTCCTCAAAGCTTTCATTCTGGACATTCTCTAGAAGAACCCACAATCTGATTGTTGAATCTTCAATGTTGTTTCTCCCACCTTCCATGGAAATAAAGACTTACTGTCCTTTTGGACTGGGCTGGCCTTGACTTGCTATGTAGCCGAGGCCTACCTTGACCTCCTGATCCTCTTGCTTCCACCTCCCCAGGGCTGAGACCACAATCTGTAAATGAATCATTCTGCACGTGTCTGACTTTCTGTGGGCAATCCTGTAACTCAGGTCTGGCCAGAGGTTAGGTGGGCAGGATTCACCTGTGGCTCTTCCTCCAGTTCTAATGACCTGAGCTCAACTACTCTGAGCTCATTCTTTCTCCTCTCATGCTGGTGAAAGTCTAAGCAGCTGCCAGGGCCTCGGGAAATCTACAAGACACAGACAACACAGCCACATCCCTGTCCAGCACCAGGCTCCTGGGTCACACTCAGTAAAAGACATCTACCCTCTGATGTCCCTTTACTTAGATTTTGGTCATGGTGGCAGATGAGGCTGTACTTTTTTTTTTCTTTTTTCTCCAAGAAATAAAGGGTTTCTCTGTAGCTTTGGAGTCTGTCCTGGAACTTGCTCTGTAGACCAGGCTGGCCTTGAACTTGCAGAGATCTGCCTGTCTCTGCCTCCTGAGTGCTGGGATTAAAGGCATGCACCGCCACCACCTGATGAGCCTTGTACTCTTATTGAGTGTACCCTCTAGTTTGCTTCCTTGCTCTGTATGGCCAACCTACAGTGCCACCTCCTAGGTGACATCTGCCTTGTGTTCCAGGCTTCTTGGGGCTCTTCGGCATTTCATAGTGCTCCTCACAGAATGTCTAAACCACATGGTGGCTGTGCCATCATCTGCTGGCCCAGCCAAAGCAACTTTTCCTCTCCCCTCCATCAATCTCCTAGTCTTGTACCTGTACTGGGGCTGACAGGCTGGTGGACTACATCACCCCACATTCCCACTCTCGCCACCCAACCCCTCCAGCCTGATATTCGAGGCCCCAGACTCCCTGTCCCATAGAGACCAGGTCTAGGCAGAAGGTATGGGTTCCCCAGCAGCCTGCCTGCTGCCAGCCCCACCCAGTCCCAGCACGACGGGCCTGAAGGAGCTGTTTCCTTGCCAGCTGGAGCCTATATTGTCCTGCTGCTCATTTGTTAGTAAGAACAGGGACAGAGAACGGGTGAATTTCCCCCATCTTTGTATTGGCCTCAAGTGGTCTAGGAAGTCCCACGGTACATATATCTGTTCTCAGGACCCTCCCCATGCCCCGTGTGCTTTGCAAGTGGCCACACCCATTCCTCAACTTCTGGCGGCTGTGGCCCTCCTCCCTGAGGCTTGACCTCTGGCATCCTGCCCTGAGCCTGTGAGCCCATCACTCCCCTGGCTATCAGTGTATGCGGCAGGATGCTGGAAGAGAGCTATTTTGGGGCAGGGAGGATCTTGGGAGGATGCTGGCGAGGTCAGTGTAGGAAAGGAAGGAGCCAGGTTTTCTGCCCATGATTATGAGTCCTGAGCCTTCTGAACACTGCCGAGGGACCCAGGGCTGCCACAGGGAAGAGCACACCCACCACAGGACTCCAGCTCTGGCCTCTTTTGACCACAGAAGCCAAAGGGGGCAGGCGTAGGTTTGGGGCTGTAGGATCTGATCCATCAGCCACCACGGGCAGAAAGAAAGTATTCATTTGCTGTGTCCATTAAAGGGAATTCCAGGGCTGGCGAGACTAAGGTATAGTGCAGGGCAACACGGGTGGAGTGGATGGATGGTGGATGGAGACTATGAAGCAGACTCTAGTCACTTATTGACATTCATTGAGTACCTACTGTATACAGAGACAATATTAAGTGCTAGCGGGACCAGGGTGTTTGTGTATTTTATAATGGCATCAAGGAGCCACAGAGAGATTTGTAAACAGTGACCCCAAGATGATGACCTGAAAGAAGGATTCGGGTACTGGTAGGTGCAGGGGAGGGCTTTCCTGACCCATCTGAGGACCTGCAAGCATCTGGGATGCTCAGGTTCCCCCTCACCTCTTTTCACCATGAGTTTTGGTTTTGTTTTTCAAAAGGGGGTCTCACCTCAGGGTCTCAGGCTAGTCTCTGACTCACTATGAAGCCGAGGATGACCTTGAACTCCTGATCCTCCTGCCTCCACCTCCTGAGTGCTAGAGTTATAGGAATGAACTACCACACTCTGTGTGTGTGTGTGTGTGTGTGTGTGTGCACGCACATGCGTGTGTGCTGGGAATGGAACCCAGGGCTTCCCGCAAGCTAGGCAAGCACTCCACCAACTGAGCTCCATTCCCAGCATCCATTTCAGCATCTTGAGGGAGGTTACCCACCAATATGAGACGCTTGCTGCCTGCACACAGTCAGTGCTCACTTGGGGGCAGTGACAAACACAGCTGTTAGGTAGAGCAGGTGAGTTTCTGTGCTAAGGGAATTCTTTCTCTGTGGGGTGAAATGCCTCTGCTTTCCTTAGTCAGCGGGTGCAGGTGCCTCCTATGGCCTCGAACATGCAACCAACACTGCTCCCAATGCCAGGGCATGGTAGTTAAGAAAAGAATTTTCGTGCATCGTTGACAGACAAGAGACAACGGAAGAAATTAACAGATGATAATAATAATAATAATAATAATAATAATAATGCGTAATATCAGGCAACGTGCTAACAAGTCAGTAACAAGCCTATGGATCTCTCCCATATACTTTCCAAGTGACCTTTACCCTTGTTTCAAACGAAGCAACTGAGGCATAGAAAGGAATCTCTGAAGGCTACGACACAGTTGGTAAATGTCAGAGAGAGAATTCAAAACTGTCTTCCAGAATGCCACTCTTGTCAAAGACAACAGACACAGTCACGTAGAGCTTGGGAAGCCCAGAAACCTGTCCAGACCCCATTACCACGTTGCCAACTACATCTCAGCTCACTAATCCTGGCATCTCATGGATCCAGTAGAAAGCTTTCTCCAACTCCGGAGCCCAATCTCCTAAGCTCGGAAAGAGGAGCTGGCTTCCCGGGACTCTGGACCCCCTTTGAATTAATCCAGACAAGCAGCTTGTGGGACCAGTGACCCTTATCACAATGTCACATCTTTAGGGATAGCACATCAGCCCAGTCACATCTGGCTACCAGGAACCTCTGTTGTGCTTGTACGCTTAGTGTGCTGGCTAATCATTGCTGTTGCATTGAGTGGGTTTAGAATCACCATGGAAACACATCTCAGGGTACATCTGTGAGGGCATTTCCAGAGGGGCTTAGTCAATGCCTACCCTGGGCATCACCCCCCCACAGGCTAGGATTCCAGAATGAATAAAAAGGAAAAAGCAAGCTAGGAAATCAACCTCTCTCCCACTCCCTCCCTTGACCTGCTGAGAAATGAACAAACAGAGCCACAGGCAGGGGCTGATTCTGTGGTCATGCCTTGCCCATCACAATGGACTGCGCCTTCTCCAACTGTGAGCCGAAACAAGCGCTTTCTCCCCAAGGTGCTTCTTGCCAGATATTTGGTCACAGCAAGGGAATGAAAAAGCGATTAATACATCTAATATCTGTCAGTCTCTCTCCCCTGACTCAGGGAACCTGTGGAGGGTTCCTAGAAGGTTGTAAACTTCTGAAGCCACGGGGGGATCCTCTCAGGAGCCCAGAGGGAGCCTTTTCAGGGCCATTTGCCCACCACAGTTACCTAGGAGGCTTCGGTGTGTGCTAGGAAACCCTGAGCAAGCAAAGCCTCAATCAATTATTTAAGCATGTCTCCCCATTTTCCCAAGTCCTTTTCTTCCTGTGCCTTCAAAGGCTTATAGCCTAGCCCAGTGAGTCAAGCAAACAGTGCCGATCCCTCCTCTGTCCCTAGCTTAATGAACGTGGCCAGAAGCCGGAGGAGGGGTCTTCTCACACACACTCACATGTCAGTGGTGGTAACTGGTGACAGTGCACTTGAACCCTGCTCTGACTATGATGCCTGCACTGAGCAGGTACTCGGCACACGGCTTTGAATACAGAGAGAGACAGTTGAGGAGCAGAGTGTGTGAGCCAACGCCCCGTGGCCTCCTGGGTCTACTTGTGCAAGATCAGAAAATAGCCAGAGGAGACTCTGAATCCAGTTTATACTTTCCTCACCTCAGGGCCATCCATTCAGAGGCAACAGACATTCTTGTGCGCCTACTACACCTTCGGAAACAGAAGGCACAGCAACGACACACTGGGCTGATTTTCTCTCGGACTTCGTATAGCCTGCCATGTCTTTCAACACACGGCCGCACCCACCAAGTGATACACTTTCACTTAATCTACTGTAGAGAGCCTCAGGGGTGCAGAGGAATTAATGAATGGGTGTGCTTAGATTAATGAATGATGAATGGGTCCATGAATGGATGGAGGGAAAGAGGAAGAGAGGGATGGAAGGGAGGGGTGGATGGAAGGATGGAAGACGACCAGATGCCTCCACAGGAAGATGGAAAGCAACTGAATGAGAGGTGGTATCCGAGCTGCACAGAAATCCAAGAAGTTCTGGGATGCATCCCTGACCAAGAGACGCTGATCTGACCTCACTCATTCACAGGGCTCCTTACCTGGTGGGCAGTTGCACCCTGGAGACATCTTCGGAGCCTCCCGACGCCTGCGCGAGTAGAACTTCCATTTCTGCACAAAAAGACAAGAGAAGTCACCAGGAGTTCATAAAAGCTCCAGGCTTGGAAAGTTGGCAAGTGGGATAAAGGGGGGTGGGGGGGGGGGGTGCGGGGTGGTGGGGATGGTGAAGATGGATGGGACTGTTCTGGGGTTGTTCAGGGCCCTCCACTGACCACATGCACAGCCTTGATAGTCTTTGGGGAACTCAAACTCTCCGCGTGTGGGTGACAGGAAATAGGATAAAGCTTATCACAGCCATTGAGCTTCTGCTATCTTCGGCAGGCTCTGCTCAGGACCCTGTAAACCAGTGCCTACCCATGGTGACTCTATGACACATGTTTCTTATCTCTTTGCTATTGTTTCCTTCTCCAGCTGGGCTCCTGGGCAGGGAGGGACAAAGCCTTCTGCTCTGCTCACCCCCTCCAGGCCAGCATCGGCAGGTGGATGTGGTGGGTGATGGGGGGAAGGGGCTGGGAAGGCTGAGCAGGCTCCAGACGCCCTGCTCCACCAAACGTCTTCCTCCACACTTCGAAACCACAGAGCCAATCTGGAAGGCCCTAAAGGGCCTGGATACTTCCAAGTCCCAGGAAATTGTGTGTAGACGGCAGCAATCAAATCCATCCGTGCAAAATGGCACCACATGGCAGACTTAAAGGAGGCCAATGTCTGTGTGCCCTCTATGCAGAGGGCTGTGTGCGGGGTGCCTCACATGGGACTCTTAGGTCAGCCTGGGTAGCACAGGGGTTGACTGAGCCCCATCTGGAGACCCCCACTTCTCTAGCTCTGCCATTTACGGCACACAGCCTGTCTTTCGTAGGCTTAAGCCGATTCTACTCCATAGCCGCTTTTGTCTTTGGTGATCCTGGCATCTCCACAGGACGCACTTTACTAATGGCCTGAGTTTTCTGACCCTGTCCTACGGAGCCAAATCTCAAATTTTCCCCACAACCACTTCAAGCCCTTAGATCCCTACTACAACTGAGGCTGTACCTTCACCACTGGCCTCTCGTAGCCTCTGCAAAAACCAAGCCTTAGCTGCTCTCCCTGACTCTGTCAATCCAGAAGCTCTCGTGCCGCCAAGACTAGTAATACATGGGTGACGCTTACACGTTTACCAAGTATGGCTGCCAGCAGGAGATGCAGCCTTAGCCCCCTCTGGATAATCTCCAAAGACTTCACCTCCATAATGCTGGGCTCTTCTTAATTACTGCAACTGTCTCAGCTCTAGCTGAAGAGCATCAGCTGTCCCAGGAAAACAAAGGTTTCACTTTTGGGGCGCTGGTCTCTTGTTAATCACTGCTGACCAGACGCCAGAGATTCTCAATTCAAAATACCACACGCACAACTCTGATAAGGTCTCAGCAGAGCTTTCCAGTCTCTCTCTGAAACTTCGCCAGCCGGCAGTGTCTGCACTGCCTTCGCCGATCTCTTCCGAGTTGCCACAGAACAGCCCATTCAGCAAGCACTCAATGGTCTTTTCAGCTCCTTCCACCGTCCCCCTCAGACAGCACCCCCCCCCGAACCCCGTATCGATGTACGTCATGGCTTGATGTCTGTGCTGTCATAAACACCATGACCAAAGGGCAAGTTGGGAAGGAAAGGGTTTATGTGGCTTACACTTCAGCATTGCTGTTCATCACTGAAGGAAGCCAGGACAGGAACTCAAACAGGGCAGGAACCTGGAGGCAGGACTGATGCAGAGGCCATGGAGGGGTGCTGCTTACTGGCTTGTTCCCCAAGGCTTGCTCAGCCTGCTTTCTTATAGAACCCAGGACCACCAGCCCAGAGGTGGCCCCACCCACAACAGGTTTGGTTTTCCCTATTGATATCAATAACTAATTAAGAAAATGCCTGACAGACTTACCTGCAGTCCAATCTTATTGTTCTCAGTGGAGGCTCCTTCCTCTCCAATGATTCTAGCTTGTGTCAAGTTGACATAAAACTACCCAGCACTGTGGATTGGGGCGGGGGAGCTCCCTGATCAATAATCAATAAAGAAAATGCCCTACAGATCTAATGGAGGAATTTTCTCAATCGAGGCTTCTCTTTTCAGATAACTCTAGTTTGTGTCAAGTATCCCACACATACAACAAAAACACCCAAAAAACTAACCAGAATACCTGGTCACCTTTGTCCCTCCTCACCTGGCAGAGGATTTCCTTCTTGGGGCTGATTGCCCCTCTGGGATGCTGAGTCTGGGGGTCAATTCTCATCCTCCTTGACCTATGGCAGGATTTACACACTTCTCCCTCTCCTCTGTGCAAACGCTTCCTGCACTTGGCTCCCAGGAAGTCATGTTTTCTCGGTTCCCCTCCTTTCACCCTGGCTGTTCTCTCTCTTTCTCCTTTGCTGGTTCCATCTTGTCTACTTGCTACCTAAGTGTTGGGGGGTCACAGGGTCATGGTTCAGGACTTCACTTCAGTCCTCCGTATACCGGTTCTCCAAGACCTTGCTTGGTCTGAGGTCTCAACATTGTCTGTGACTGTCTTAGCCAGTGTTCTATTGGTGGAAAGTGACAACGCGATCAAGGCGACTTTTACAAAAGAAAGCATTTAGTTAGGGGCTTGCTTAGAGTTTCAGAGCTTGGTCTATTATCGTCACGGCAGGGAGCATGGTGACAAGCAGGTGTGGCACTGGAGAAGGAGCTGGGAGAGAGATGGGAGAGAGGAGAGAGAGAGAGAGGGAGAGAGGAGAGAGAGAGAGAGAGAGAGAGAGAGAGAGAGAGAGAGAGAGAGAACAAGCACACAAGCCTGGCATGGACTTTTAAAACCTAAAAGTCCACCCCCAGTGACACCAGTGACATATTTCCTCCAACAAGATCACACCTACTCCAGCAAGGCCACACCTCCTAAACCTCCTAACTCTTTCAAACAGTTCCACTCCCTGGTGACAAAGCATTCAAATACATGAGCCTATAGGTCTATTCAAACACATAAGCCTATGGGTCTATTCTTATTCAAACTACAACAATGATCGCTGACAGCTCCATATTCCCACCTCTAGCCTTGTGACCAGCCGCTTGCCTGATAGGTTATTCTTTGCCATCTCATAACAAAGTCTCAAGACTGAGTCCCAACCTGTCCCCCATCCTTCCCAAACATGTCCCAGCAGAACCAACTCAGTTTTTCCCACTCTCCAGCTCATCACTGATGACTCTCTGCCCCACACACGCAGCCAGCAGAAGCCCCCATCTTGTACTCTGTAGACACACTCAGTCAGGCCCTTCCCCCAGCCCTGGCGCTTCAACCTGATCCAGACACGCTAGCCCAACAATAACCTACTGTCCCCACCCCACATCCGACCTGGACCCAGAAGCCCCATTCTCAACAGTTGCCAGACCCACCGCCTCTCCGGGCTTTCTCCTACCCGGGGCCTTTGCACTTGTGAACACTCTCTTTCTGGGATGGTCTCTTTCTAGCGGTCTACCTGGTATGCTCCTAATGGAGACCCATCTTGCTTCCCGTCCCCTGTTCCACATCCCTCCTGCCTCCTTCCCTACTTCACTGTCTCTTTACCATTTTCTCTCTCTCATTTATTGCTTCCCTTTGCCAACAGAAGACAAATTCACAGCAGGACAAACCACAGGTTCTGTGTTCCTCGCCACCATGTGCCCAGTGCCTGCAACAGAGCCTGACGCGCAGCGGGCATTCAGTAAGCACTGATTATTTACACATCAGGTGTCACAGTAAGCTTGACCTGGGCCCCACTGCAGTGGGGAACTGGGGGCCGTGGGCTATGACTAACATAGTCAGGTGTTGAGTGACACCCCTCAGATGGGAATGAGTGACCCAGGTCACCAAGACACACCTTCCGGGTGACCAGCTTTAGTTGATTAACTCACTAGTCCTGGCCGCTGTGGTATCATGAGTTGAGGATCTGAGTGAGAGACCCCACTAGGCTGTGGGCTGGACATTTTCTGCAGTCTTGTGGGGGAAGGGGACGGACCCCAACCCCTCTACACAGAGGGACCCTTCTGCTCTCTTGGCTGGTAGCCAGGGCCTCCTGGAATGCCCTGTGTGGTTAGGGCTGAAACGCCACCAGCCCGATGGGTCGCAGCTATTAAAATGCCGGTGTCAGTATCAAAGGGAAGATGCCAGGCAGCCACTCGCTTCCCCAGAGAACATAGTTCCATCCCAGCTTGGGCTTAGGGGCCACTCACTCCCCATGTCCTGGCTCAGGGCTCTTAAAGGGACCAGGCACCTACCCGACCTGGGCCTTTGTCACGCATGTGTACAGATGGCAGTGGAAGACAGTGAGGCCAGGGGCCGTGTGTCACTGTCCCTCTGGGGTCGTCCCTCAAGAGAGGCTTTAAAATAAGACATTGCCTCCTGACACCATGCAGGTGTTGAGGGAGATTGGCGGTGCAGCCAAACAGGAAGCGTCAGGAACAATCGCTAGTAGCTGAGAGCAACACACTCCATGGGGTTGGATTGTAGCTCAGGGGTATAGAGTGTCTGCTGGTCGGTGTGAGGTTGTGGCTTACATCCTCTGTACCACAAAGAAAAATGAAAAAGCCAGGTAGAGTGGGGGTAGGTCTGTAGTTCCAGCACAGGGTAGGTTACTGCACAGGGATTACTGCAACTTGGAGGCCATAGTAGGCTGCATAGTCTCCACAAGGCACCAGCAAAACAAAACAAAATGGGCGGGGCTATAGCTGTTAGCAGAGCACTTGGGAGGCTAAAGCCCTGAGTTAAACCTCCAGTAGCCCATAAACTGAGCAGCAGCCGGTGCCTCTAATCCAAACACTCAGAAGGTGGAGAAAATAGGATCAGAAGTTCAAGGTCATTCTCGGCTACACACCAAGGTTGAAACTAATCCAAGCTACACAAACTCTATCTCAAAAATATTTTAGATCACCCAGTGATGGTGGCATATGCCTTTAGTCCCAGCACTCAGGAGGCAGAAGCAAGCTGGTCTCTGTGAAATCAAGGCTAACCTGGTCTACAAAACGAGTTCCGATCTCAAAAAAATTTTTTTTTCTTTTAGTGACCCACACTAAGTACCCTACACTA